TCTTATTATATAAAAAGTGAGAGACTCGTAAATAAATGTACTTCTCTATGCATCGCTTATCAATTATTTTTAAATGGGTCACGTAACTGATAATTTAGTGATGACAATACGTTTTTATTGTGTTAAAAATGAGGCATGAAAAGATACCTTAATTTTTGCAACTTACCCGCGGAAATTACTTTTTTCTTTTGACGACTGGAATAACGATTGGAATAAATCGATTTGCGAAATACGAAAATTCCCGCACTCGTTATATACATTTATTGAATAAATGTATTGAATGTATTGAATAAAGAACCTGGAAGGAACACAAAGCGAAAATGCATTTCGCTTTCAGTGTGACGGATGTGATGTCATAAAAATTAACCAAATCGATACTCTTTACCTATAAATTGAACCAAGTTTATGATGCATCTTGAACAGATTAACACTTCTTTACCATTTCTTCTTTTGAAAATAAACTAAAGTAATCAGTTGCTGTCTGTTGCTCGTTTCTACTAATGTAGTTTAATTTTTATCTCGGTTCAATTTACTTTTTATCTTTTTCTAATTCTTAAAAGATTAATCTACATTGGTAGAAATGGACAATTGGACATACTTTTCTACAACCAAAATATCTATTTCATATATAATAATAACCGCCATTCGTATATATTTCTGATGTGACGTCATTATAAGTTATAAAATTAACTCAACGTAAAACTGGCAGTGTCGTGATACCTGTATTCTTTATTCAATGGTTATAAAATATAAAACGTTTTTTGAGAAGATTTATGTAGACTTGGAATTATTTTGACGGTGTCGCATTTAATCTGTCGTACATTTTTACGCTGCAGTCGGCTGATAAAAAGACATTTGCATACTTGTATTTTATTTTATCTTTTTTTCCGACCGCTTAATTTTTTTTATGTAGTCATTTATGACACGGCGTGTGTAATTTATGGCACACGCGTCAATATTGAAGATGCTTGACATCATGCAAGCGCGGCTAATAAAAAATAGCGTAGAAAGCAGTTCTATTATTACTGCCGGGATCAACGTCGACCAACCGTAGATGAATTGGACGGTCTATAAAAGCGGCAGCGCGAGCTTGGCACTTATGGTTTATGATGACCAGAGTGCTCGATGACCGTAAAACACCCTGACATAGTTTAATAAAAGACCGAAGGCGACCGATGGGGCTCGATGGCATAAAGAATTCATTTTATGTACCATAAAATGTTACGGTGGCTCTTCACGCGAGGGCTTGTCGCATCTGGAGAAAAGAATAAAAAGTTACAGACGGAAGTGTCGCGACCCTTCACGATAAGTGCGTGTTTAGTCCAATGCTCGCTATGAGTGGCGGTGGCGGCGACTCACTTTGAAACAGTCGATTAGTCTTGATCTCAATATGAAAATATTTAGTCATATTGATAGTCGTATCATTTTAACGTCAGTCACATCAATCGTCTTTTCCGAGTGTTGTATACATTTGTGTCTTGACACAGATATCAACAATTGATGACACTACTTGGATTATGCAACAAAGATCATCTGTTATCCTGGCAATGAGTGAAACTTCGTGGAAATGTATCCAGATTGAGTTTTATTCTCTGTCGTAATATCGTTCCAATTAAAGCTAAAAAATATTTTAGCTTATATTAAAGTATAATAAAACATCAAGAACGAAGCTTTGTATCCTACATTAATTTATTTTCTGAAAAATATTGTCCTCAAAAATATTAAGTGCTACATTTTATCGTAATTATCGTTATTAATGCTATATTTATCGTAATTATCGTTATTAAGATTTATCATATATTTATAACAAACATTATATTCTTTAGGGAGCGTGTTATTTCAATAGTAATAATAATATAGTAATGATGAGAAATAATTCGCAACTGTCAGTCAACAACGAAATAATAAATAAAAAGAATAAATTCGTTCAGTCCTGATTTTTTAGAGCATAGCAGCTAATTAAAATGATTCGATTGTTATTGACTTATTATATTTTTTGCAAGATGCAAAAAGGCACAGAAAAGAAAAACGATGCAATAGTATGCAGTTTCTAATTGCATATGTTTATAGTTTATACGTACTGTCTAAAACTTTTAGAGTGAAATCTCATTTTGCAGAATAAAATTTCACTTTTGAATATTAAAAACTGAGTCATTTTTTCAGGATTAAGCTTAATTTTCATTTTTTAGAATAAGATTCTACTCCAAAGAATTTAGACAGTGTACACAGTTTTATACGTTTTACGTGTAAACGTATACACTTAGCTTGCAGAGATAAAAGGAAACGAAATTTTGCGTTCCGTCGAGACGACAAAACGAAACACATTTGCATAAAAGGATAACAGGCGCTCGTAAGGCTTGAAAAATACGAGATTATTTGAGCGTACTGGCGGATTTGTTGTACGATCCAGACGGCTTTTTAGATGCGGTTGCGTGCACGAAATAGCGGGCCACGATATTTTCAGAACGTATGCGACTGCAACTATGGTCTGCTGCTTCACCGGGATACAACGAAATGCATTGTAAATTATATCCCAATGATATTATATATTCATCCACAAAATATATGGGCCACTGTATCGGTTTAGTGGCCCATATTTTTGCGGGTGTATATATATATATATATATATACACATTGGAAAATGGGAAGTTACGTTAATTGAAATTCTGATTGATATGATCAAAATCTTCTCATTAAGGATGTTGCAATCTCCAAAAAATCGATCTTCCTAAACAACAATAGCGATTTTAAACCAAATTATTTTGGAAAAAATTGATTTTTATTCTAAAAGGAGCTACTTTAAGCCCAACCTCTTCGGCTTTATTGTAACGAATTTTTTTTCACAGTTTTTATACATTTGATTCACATACTCTTTACAATATACTCTTACATGTTATTATGTAGACGCTATATTAATTTAAATGTCGCAGACACAATTGTTTCTTTTATCTTATATTATAGAAAGAAAAAGAAAGAGAAGAACTATTTGTACAATCTTATGAAACTCTTGTTTCTGTAACGATTGAAAAAACGCATTGAACAGGATATCGTCACGACATGCCACTTAATGCCCTAATATTCTTCACGTGAGCGCCGAAGGCGATCATGTTCCATTCACTCCATCGATTCTTCAGCAAATTTTACACGAAAGCACGAGCATTAGTGAAAAATCATGTCCAAAGTTCAGCAAGCAAAAATAAACGGTCGATTGCAGTTTATCTCATGTCTTGGATAAACTAAAAAAATAATAGATAAATAAGACCGCTGGAAAACATGTTACGCACATCTTCGCGCACGAGCCAAGCAGCGACAGAAATATCCAACCTTGATTTCCTCGCGATCTTTTCTTTGTTTTTTTTTATTTTGTTCTTTCGCGTTGATTTCCTTCTTCGAAGACTGCATTCCATGCCGTTCGCTCCAGAATTACTTTGAAAGGGCTATTTGCTCCGTTTGCTCTCAGTGAAGTTCACGCAAGCGATCTGCAACGGACTGATCTGAAAGCGTTGCTGCTCGTTGTGTTGCTCGTCTTCGCGACGTGCGCACCGGTTTGATACACACCGGTAGGCACGATTGCCTACCATGCTATTGAAATAATCACGATGCCGCACGTGTCATAGGTGTCACAGGGATTCTATCGACTTATGCGCAATGCAATCGGACGTATCGAAGTCTACGATCCTGGCGCGACATGCTCCGTCGTGGCCAACAGGCGACAGCATATCAGCGAATGCATCTCGATGTGGTGTACCGTAGGACATCCATGAGGTTGTCGGGAAAAATGCGATTTGAATCGCTTCAGAGTATCTTGAGAGTGTTTCTTTAAAAATTGAGACTGAAGACGCTGACAGGAGTGCCTTCTTAAAATGCTTTGGAAAGCATTGTTACACGGAGAGAATTTTCTTTTAAAATTTACCCTGAAAATATGGTAGTTGTGGTACAATACAATATTTTAAAGATTTTTATCATTCACTTCAATAAAATTGATCAAACTTATTTTATACTTTATTGTAGTTTTATTGAATGAGAGAGATTTACACTAAAAAATTCTTTGAAATACAATGTTGTTCCATGACTGTTATATTTTCAGAGTAAATTTTAAGAAAAAATTCTCTCTGTGTATTTATAAAAAGAAATCTATGTAGTTATGTTTTGATTAAGAAAGAGAGAATAATAGAATTATATTCTGCTCTCTAAAATCTTTGGAGTGCAATCGTAACTCTAAAGAGTGGAATCCTACCTTAAAAATTAACTCTTTTTTTAAAACTGGTTGTTACTTTTTAGAATTAGATTCTACTCTTAAGATTTTAGAGAATGAAGTATCTTGGAAACTTCTGAGAGAATTTTAAGAATTTATCTCTTTATTGCGAGTTTGTGAAAATTTCTACTGTGAGGAGAAGGTGATACGCATTTTCGAATGGAGCGTATTCGAAAATAACACATGTGCAACGGATATGACGCGTGAACATAAACCGGATACGATAATATTTGTTCGCAAGGCGATAAACATTCTCAAGGATTCAAGGCGAACATCTGCTATAAATGAAAGTCTAACTAAGGCAAAATATATCTGTTATAGATCATTCGGATTGTTATGTAGATATCCATTTTTTTTTATTTTACTCAATACAAAGAAGAGTTATTTATGCTGCCGAGTTATTTCAGTAAAAGAATATTATCAACATTACCACAAAATGTATCGACGATTCTTTTCTATTCTATTCTCGAAATTGTAGAGGTATATATAATTATAGGTTTGTTCGCGTTGCTTAAAATTCCTAAAAATTTTTTGCACCTAAAATAAGATAAATATATATTTGGATGTAGAAGAAAAAGAAAATGAAGATACTAAACGTAAAAAATATAAGTGACGCGAACAGACTTATATTTTGTTGATATAAGATGATCGAGTGCGGCAACCTTCATTATACATATATTATTATCCAATCACATTAATTTCAAAACTTTCTGTTAATCTTTATTACTTGTTTTATTTCTTGTAGGAAGAGGACATAGGATGGACCAAGTCGTGCGAACAGGTGTCGTTCATCATTGAAGAGGAGGATCTCAAAAAAGCGAGAGAAGCAGGAGAACTCAAAGGATGCCTGCTTCGTCGCAAACCGCCGCATCCGAGCGGCGAAACGAAAGGGTGGTTAGTACTTGTTGCAAATATTTTCTTTTTTTTTTCCTCAAAAAGTGATTCTAATTCAAAACAAAAATCAAATATAAAATACAAATAAATGATAAGAATGAGTTAAAGATATATAATTTCCTAAAAAGAGAAAATTCTACGGTTTCAAAACAGATTTTTTTATTTATTAAATTAAAATCTGCGACATTTTGAAACGCTTGTTTATTCAGAAAATTACAAATCATTTCATTTTAATCCCTAAATGTTTGATTCAGATTATCATCTTTATTTACGTTTTGTTTTGTGAATTTTCCAAATTGTTTAATGATGTATGAAATACATGAGAAGAAATATATTGCATATGGTCTTTTTTTTTACAGCTAACACATGAACCACCGAAATTGAAAACGACTTTGAAAACACCTCCCAAACAAGCGACTAATCCTTTACAATTCGTCAAAGTCGGACCATGTTCACTTTATCGAACGGCACAGGAGCAATTACAAAAAGTCCAAGAGGTGAAGAAAATCAAACAGGAAGTCCGCGATGATCCCGAGGACTGGCAATCAGTGAGTAACTTCAAAGTCATCATCTTATTAATAAAAAAAAGAAGTATTACAGGTTCAACAACTTATACGAATACTTACATTCGATAAAAAAAATTTTGACTTTAATTCTATAATTTATCAATTATATAAATTATTTAAATTCATATCTTACAATTAGATGGAAAAACGTTCTTGTATAAAAAAAAATTATTGAAGTTTGCTCTTTTTTATAAATCTATTTTAATTGAGATAAAATATTAAAGCCAATTAATATATCATTACAAAATTATTTAATGTATTACTTATTTTATCAATATTAAAGTTTAAAATCATTAATAATCGAATGAAGTATCATCAAAATTTATAAACGTCAAATTTCTCATTAAAATTAATTAAATATTTTATAGATCATTATGTATTTTACTTAAAAGTTTTTACGTAAAAGTTATTACATTATATGGTTTTCTTAATAATGAAAGGTGACATTTCTTCCACAGAATTTGGATAATTGGAAGAGTAGTCGGAGGAAGCGGCAGGAACACATAATCGAGCGAGTGGTGGAAGTGAAGAAACTCGAATTGGAGGAACACGACCGTCTGCGTCGTAAGAACAAAACCTTCTCGGAGATGATGGAGGAGCGCGGTAACAGGGGTCGTAAGCTGAGCATCAGCTTGGCTATGTACAACGACGAGGATGCGAATGATCTCAGCGACCTCGGGATCGGTACGAGCAGCGGCAAGAGCTCGGTCAGCGGCGATACGCATGACGACACACATAGTGTTTTGGTACGCATTTATTCAAACACGTGCGTAATATACGCCTTGCGTCGCGTCGACTCGCTTTTATTGAAAAGAACATTAATTCCGATTCCGATTAAATCTATTGATATAAATTCTATAACAAAAAAATTTTTTTTAATTATTAATTTATGTATAAATATATCTTTTTTTACATTTTTTAAGGCAAATTAATAAGAATCGTCGTTAATCACAAAATTTTGATTTGCATTTTATTTTATCTTTTCTATTACGAATAAATCCGTGCAAGAATTGTCGGTTCGCGAATTCAAAACTTACCGCCCTGCAATGATCAAACCGTATTAATCGTATGGCCATGACCGCTCTATTTTTACATTTGTTTACATTAAGTGTTACTTGCAAACATTTATTTAGTCCCAAGCTATTCGTCGCGCAATCAATAGTAATTTTTATAAATTAATATCTATTAAATCGACAAGAAGAGAATAATAATTAAATATTAAAGCGAACCTTTTTTTACTATGAAAAATTTTTAAAAATAATATCCTTACGAGAATATACATTGTTCGATAATATTATGTTTTTCAAATTGTAGAGCGATAGGGATAGCGAGATCGAGAAGAGTCATTCGGATGTCGATAACACCATCGATGTGGCCTCATCCATGACGACGAGCATCGCAACATTGACGACGACAGCGGCAACAATCGCGACTACATCAGTAACAGCAACGATCGCATCAGTAGCAACGGCAACGACAACGACAACAGCTGATACTAGTAAGACAATAGAATCGATAATAACACCGATGACAACAACGGCAACGACGACCGTACCGATAACAACGACGTCTACCGCGAGAAAAACGTTTGGTGGTGGTTTTCATGGCAATCTGAATCACAATCAGGAATACGATTCGGGTACTACCGCGACAACGAGTTCGCCCGAACCGGAAGAATATACGTATGAAGGTGCCATTCGTGGTTACGTGTCGAGAGTGTCGCAAAACATACCGCGAAGATCCTTGACTGGAATCGACTCCAAGTTAGACACGGCAAAATCATCGCTGAACGGTTCAAAGACAAACTTGAATGATGAGAGTAGTAAGTCCCCGCTGTCAATGGTAAAGGTGGATATATTGAAGCGACGTGAAGTGTTCGAGAAGGCGTCGCAGAAGAGCAGCGACAGCAAAGCAAACAACAGGTTATCCGGTGATTTCACCGGCACGAAATCGATCAAAGAGAGGCTATCGAGTCTCGAGAGACAGAAGTATGAAACGGAGAACGGTGACAAAGCCACTAATAAGACCCTCAATCGATTGTCCGGCGACATGAGCTCTATCCGAGAGAGGCTCACTCATTTAGAAAAACAAGCTTCGGAACGTGAGAGCAAGAGTTCCGTTCATCGCAAGCTCAGCACGGAAGATCTGGAAACGGTGAGGCCTCTCAGGGAAAGATTGTCCACCTTGGAGAAGTACAGTAGCAGCGACGAATCTTCGGTGCCGACCACGACGAATGAGTCGCGTTCGCACAATGGTGAATTCACCGCCAGGACAATAAAGGATCGTCTTAGTGCACTGGACGTAGCCAGGAGCAAAGACACGACGGAGAAACGAGAACCCACACACGTCGGCAAGCATCCGCTTTGTTTCCGTGATCAGGAGAATAGAGTCGACACATCGACACCCAGCGAGAGGAGTTCGTCGCCCGACTCGGAATATCGTGTACCACGAGCCGTCTTCCACAGAAGTCTGGACTCCCTGGACGCGGACGCGTCCAGCGGCCCAGACACATTCGAGCGTGTGCAAAGCCTCGAAGAGCTCGATTATGGACGTCAATATCCCGCTTCGTCGTCGTCCGCAGAACTCTTGAACGACACGGACCGCGAGGATTCGGGTATTCACACCGCAGACGTAAGTTGCTCGGTCAGCCAGGCAGATGAGCCGATCGATGAAGAGATTGTGCAACACACCAGTGGTACGATCGTCGAACGAAGAGAAGTCGAAGAGAGGATCAAGACTATGTCCGTCATCCAGGAGGACGCATTAGCATCGGGTATGATAGTGGAAGCGCCGAATGACACCGCGACTATTCGCTCACAGTTCACCAGCCACCGGGAGGCAGTAGCAGTGAACAAGGTAAGAGAAATTATTGAAACTTTTAAGATTGTATTTTTATTATTTTTATTGTATTTTTATTATATAAATTTTGATAAAGTTCTATTTGATGAGAAACAATTCATATCTTCACAGATTTTCATTTTAGATCTCTAATGCCCGTTTCCAATATAGATTAACTTTAATCTTAGTTCAACTTACTCTTCGTTTTTTTTTAATTCTAAAGATTAGAAAAAAAACGAAGAGTAAGTTGAACCGAGATTAAAGTTAATCTACGTTGGTGAAAATATGCATAAGTAACTTAAATTAGAAAACTCGAAACTGACACCCGTATTCAAGAAAAAATAATTTCATTATTAGCTACATTTTTTCTGGCGCCTATTCACACCTGAAAAATCAGAATGAGCACTATTTTACTGTTTCCTTTACACAATTCCTTTTTTCTTTTTGGTTTTGGGTTTCGGACAACTACATATCGGGTAACTCTCTGATTCTGTAGGGTACTGCTGACACTTCTGGGGAACTATCGACTAACAAGTCACAGTCGCAGGCGCGCATAGAGGCCATTACTAATTCTAATACACTTCGTTCGCATATTTCTGTGCCTCGCGCAATCACCCATCCGAGTCCCAAAATATCTCCGCGAGAGATGACAATCCCCGAAAGCCTTTCGAAACTACGAGCGTTCGGCAAAGACGTGGCCGAGTTCAAGACAGATTCTGAACTAAGTCCCAACGAGTCCATAGTATCGGCCAGTCTGAAAATCTCTATCGAGCAAGCGAGACCGAAATTTATTGGCCAGGCAAAGCGACAGAACCCGCCCAAGGAACATCTCTCCAATCTCCCTCAACCTCAGCCGTGTTTAGAAACCATCCCCGCCGCAGAGACATACCAATTGTCCTTTCCCTCCGTCAGAGCGACGACGATCCCGACTAGCCTCTCTCCTGAAGCCAGTCCGATTTCCAAACCCGCGACCTGCCGTACCACGTCCAAGATTCCCACCCCTCTCTCTCGCAAAACCACTAAGTCTTCACCAACGAGTCCCGACTCTGTCTTGACCTCGCTCGTTCCAAAATCTTCGCCCTCGAAGGCGCACAACGCGAATAACAAATCCTCGACTAGTCAATCTCCCTGTTCGATTCGGAGAACGTCCGAAACGACGACTGTCGAAACCTCCTCACCTGTGTCCCCGCAAACGAGTTCAGCGGAACTTTCACCTTCGTCGAGATTACCCGCAGCGAGTACGCGACGCCACGACGATGCGCTATTGCCTGCGGAACGACGTCGCACCGTGGTGGAGGTGTGCGAGAAGGTGGTGGTACCTCAGGGCAAGGCACCCATGACGCCGCCGGTGACGCCGTTCATCACAGTGAACCGCGTCAACACGGTGGACAAGAGGACAACCCCCGTCACCGAGGTTAGAAGCGATCAGCAATCCGGCAACGCCTCGAAAAATTCCTAAAGACGCGAGGACCATCTTTTCTGATCTGACAATAACAACCGCGCAGTGTCCTCCTCTTTTTATCAGCCTCTAGACAAGCCATACTAGATCTTGTACGTAGAGCCACCGTCTCGTCGGGCGCGAGGAATGCGAGGGTGTGTCGAGGGTGTGAAACGCTGAGAGAACGAGGGTTCCAGGAGCAACTCCGTCATCGTTTCGACCTTATCCGCGTACAAACTACGTTGTTTATCAGCCAACGGATCGAACAGGTCGAAGACATACGTTCCACGTTAGCTGAACAGTTGTGTGATTCTTCTTCGCTTAACGTTTACACTTTTTCGTAGAAGTCACCCGGTTCGAAAGTTCCGCTCCCAGCTCTTCGAGACTCGAGGGCTCCTCCGAAGGAGAGATTTTATTTTAAGGATTTTAGTCTTAACGAATCGCTGTCGTCTCTACGCTCAGTAAATGCGAAGTTACATAAACTTAGGCTACGTACGACGCTAGTCATGTAAATAGGCGCGACGCAGGTGCGAATATAAGATAATCTTCGGTTATACGAATTATGTAGACTTGTAGATCGGCAGAAACTCTACCGTGAAACTGCTGCTACGCGTTATAATATACGGCGCAACGACTTGTAATAGAGTTCACAATTGCGGTATTATGTCTGTAACGTAACAGCAGGCAGCCTAAGCGCTATCAAATACACCGTCTAAGGAAAAACGTAACGGCCGATCTCGGCATTAATTGACTTTAATCGGCAGTTTAACTTTATCTCCTCCGCGATTACAGCGAAAGCTGCGAACAAATGGTCGATTAAAGTTGACCGCCGATATCGACTGTAAGCGGGAATAAACCATTGTGATAACACGTTCAATCGCTCCTCATCTTAATTACGATCGTGCATTAAGTCGAGCACGTCGATTAGAATATCGGCGATATCGCGTTCTCCAAGTAACACTTTAATTAACTTCACTTGCGATGCTCCGAGCAAATTTTGAAAGAACTCGCCGACACTTGACGCGCGATTATGATTAATTGTCATGGATTATAAGCGGTCGACCGAGAAAGAACGAACAACGATGAAATATAAGATACATTGGCAAACAAAACTCGCTATGTCGTATTATTTTCTCTTGCATTTATGACATGAGTCTTATCGTGCGGAATAGTAAAGCTTTATCTTGCTTTTTAATTTCTTTTTTTTTTTTTTTTTTTAATTTTACAATTCATTACATAGTTATTATCAAAGAAAAATTTCGAATTGATTGAAAGAATTTGCACCTGTAAATTGCAAATTCATCGAAATTCAACAAATTAATTGATTCATTTATGACGATGAATTTTGACGAATTATTAACGAGATTCGTCAAGACGTTGAATAACGTAAACAGCTTGTCATCGCAAATCTTGACGCAGTTCATCTCCATGATTAACAGGGCGCATAAATACGCTCTTTTAATAACAGTTCAAAGTACGATGGATATATCAGCCGTGTGACGCGCGGAGTCAAGGATCAGTCGCGGTGTCAGTTAATTATTAATAAAGAACCATTCGTGCCGACTGTAAAAAAAAAAGCAACCACGTGACTCTACATCGCCGCCATCAACGGTATTTCCATCAACGATTGTCGCTCGTTTGTTGGCGCGCGATCGCTTTCTTTCTACGCGTCTCAGTCTCCTCGATACACCGAAGAGGTAAGACGTCATATACTCTTGATTGCTTCGAGCAAGCAGCGATTTGCTTGAGCTGTGTGTTAGCCCCCGTGTGGGACACCGTGTCGACGAACGGCTTCTTTTTTTCCTTTCTTTTTTTTTTTTAGTAGACTCCAGAACGAATGGCAATTTCACGAGACACGCATGTCTGTACGGATAGCCCCGTTCGGGTTCAGGGCCTACCTTCGAAAATCTTCAAAGAGATATTATTCAATTTTCTCTATGTCTTGTCTTGCGATTAGTAGCAATAAAAGGAATAGTAAGAGGAAAAAGAAACGCTAATTATATAGACATTAATTCTCCAGCATCACTTTGTATCTTTTAAGGTCACAGTCGATATCACATTTTCTCAAAATTCTTATTCAAATTTCAACATGTAAAAAATAAATAAAATATAGTCCAGTTTTTATTATAGTAAAAACTTATTGTTATAAAGATTTCACAAAGTACAAGAATTTTTTTTCAGATTTTTATGTAGTCTAGAACCATCAAAAATATATGCTGTTTCCCTCAACGATCCAGAGTGTAAACTACGATCGAAAATTTCGGAGGTGATGCTGGGGGATTAATTTTATTGAAACAGTAATTCGAAATCAGTCTCTAAACGGTTTCAATAGCCTAAAATAAAAATAACATTAAGAGGTCGATATCATCGATACTTTCTATTTTGTTTTTATCTCCACTGTCGTTTATCAAAACAACACGTCAGACACGCGCCTGATTTGTTCACAGACAAATAGAGGACAAGGTAGGCCCTGATCAAGTCCCTTCTTTATCAGTCTCACTTAGAAACGGACGATTGTACATATTTGGTTGGTGAATTCCACGTCGCACTTTGCACTCCATCGAAAAACTTGTGCCTCGATAGCGGAGGCTAGATATCCCTCTTATCTCTCTCTTTCTCCCTCGATCGCCGAAAGAGACCTTATCGCGCCGTTTGCGCGCTCACAGCCGGCTTTAATCAGTCTGACAACACCTGACATCACGGTGATCTCTAGTGGCTGTGCGATTTTCGAGGCGTGTGCACGATCCGCTTGCAACTTGAGAAAGTGAACGTAGTTTTTCCCTCCCCGTGTGCTCGTCACCTGCATGCGATTTATGAGTATAACTCGTGAGGTAAGAGGTACTACCGAACGGTTAGGCGTGAATGTGTGAGTTATTAGTGAATGTGTGAGTTTTTTTTTTTAATTTTGCCGTGTAGTGTTTGAAGAGATCGCGTGATCGAGTTGCTTCGATTGACTTGGCACTTGTAGGCTTTCTGACGGCTTAAGAACGCTCACTCGTGTATTCGCTTTTGAAACGAGAAAGAGTATTGAATAAGCTATTAGCTTATGATGATATTATCTAGAAGTTACATAGAAGTTACAATGATTTTCTTTTTCTTTTTTTTTTTTTTTTTTTTTTTTTTTTTTGCTTTGAGAAACAGAGTGGGAATGAAAAGAGTTGTAGAGAATTAAATTTATTTCGAATATTAGTTCTATACTGATATGTTAATATTTGATTGATCTTAATTAATTTTTACACAATTCTTCTGTATTTAATTTTCAGAGATATTTAATTAGTATTTTATTCTTTATTTGCACCTTTGGAGCTTCTTTCTTTTCAATCGCTTATGATCTTAATGCCTCATAATTTCTTCTAATCAAAGGCGTTACACAGTGCATGGAAGATATTGACACTATTTTAACACAATTTACAAGCTTCTGTTCGACGATGCTTTACTGATCACGCATCGCCAACCAGCAAATTACAATTTTTTTTGCAATATATTTATGTTAAAATATTTTATAATTACAATTAACGCTATACACGAAGATTTTGCAACGATCTGCATTTAATAATTAAGATTATAATATGATAAATGAATAGGTTTTATTCAGATAATCTACGATGAGATGAGATCAATCTTTCACGAAATTGATCTTGTCACGATTGTGACGAGATCTGCAAGAGATACAAGAAATCTTGAATCTCTCTCTCTCTCTCTCTCTCGTAAATCGTCGTTATTCGAGTCATTACCCGAAATCAGTGCTTCTCGAGTCTGTTGATATCGTAACATGAGCTCCATACATCTTCATAAAGGCGCGTCAAATCGCGAAGAAAAGCGCACGTGATTGCGGAGATCCGCGAGACTCATCAGACGTATAATCATTACGTAACATGCGTCGACCTGGTAAAATGCGCCCGCGTATTCCCACAAAGGAATTTCACATCTGGTACACGCGAGACATTCTCCTGACGTTTTTTTTTTTTTCGTGTAACTAACCGTTACGCTGGGAAGATATGCCGATCACAATTGCGGTGAAATATGGCATCAAAGTACACGCATTATATTATGTCACTTAACGATTGCATCATCGGATCCACGAACGCGGATGTTACGAGCCATAAAAATCTCCGAAAGCATAATCTCAATTTAAATGTCGCAGTGCGATTTCTCGTTACAGTTTTTTAAAATGATCTTGTATAAGTTATCTTACATTAACTGTATGACATCACTTTTATACTTAACTACTAGTTTGATACACATTACGGTACATTTTCTAGATATTTTTTAAGTATTCGATTGGAATAATTAGAAATTAAAAGATAAATCGCGACTTTTTTTTTTTCAATTATACAATTTTTCGTCGTATAATATCGCAGTGTTTATATCTATCATCCTAATTAAAACCAGTTTACCAGTTTTTTATCCTAATTAAAATGTTTATCCCTATCATGATTACCCTAATTAAAACCAGTTTGTAAAATATTTTCTTGAGACGTTAATTAACCGAAAAATGCATTTGTATCTTTGAACATTAATGAGCGCGACCAAAAAGAAGCCACCAAAAGAAAGTGATCTTGTCCTTTTAATCAGAATTCATGCGTCTCCGATCTTCGTATATTTGAGAAATTCTACTCTAGACCATCGTCCATCGATTTGCATAGAATGTAGCGTTGCAAAATCTGCGCGAAATTGCATTTTACATATTCCGCTCTCGGCTACACTACGACTCGTCTCTTCAGGAACGGATCGTTATCGAGAAAGCGGACCAAGAGGAGGAGGCAGCCACCACCGCTGCGAACCGCCCAGCAGTGGTCCCGGCAGTCGAACACAAGCAACAAGAAACGACGGAGACGTCGACGAACGTAGTCAAGAAGAAGTGCGACGTCGACATCGACATGCACGACGCACCTAATGCCATGGTCGCTACACCGACAGTCGACCATCCGCTGGAACGACCGACGAACCTGAATTTAGCCAAGCAGGAAGTTAGTTTGGTCGACGCGCTGAATACCCCGAATCCAACGTCACCGATTTCTAAACAAGTTAGTTTAAAATTACACTAAAATTTCAATCCCTTTTGTACAATCCCTCTGTACAATAATTTTCTGAAACAATTCATTGAGCGACATTCACAATATAAATGTCCTTTGTTATTTATAGTTTCTACCGTTAACTCTGTCCAATGATGAAGAAATAATCGCTGATCAGCCTTTCCTTCTGAGTCCACCAACGAGCGTGGAACCACCGAAGGAAAAACCACCGCCGCCTCCGGTAGACGTCAGCGACGATGATAATCCTCCGCCGGAGCCGCTCAAAAGATTAAACTCCACTCGTAGAATCAAGAAAGAATTACGCACGAGACGCTCAGATTTCCTCGGTATTGAAGGGGTAAGCACGAATCCTCAAAGATCCGCCGTTTCTATTCATCTCAATTGTTTTAAAAATAATCAGTCATGTTTAAATTGACAGATTTAAAGATAAACATTGTCAATTTCGATTTTATTAACAGCAGGTCAACGACGAAGATTTCGAACCCGAGTTAACGCTGACGAAACCACCGGATATGGCGGCGATTCTCGCTGAGGAGAAGCGCATCGAACAACTCCATCGTCGCTCGTATGACACCGACAGTAATTACGAGCAAGATTCAAGCCACGAAAGAGATTCCGGGGTCGAATTAGGACACGTCGAGGATTGGGCAAAACAACCTGTTAGCCCCGACATGTCGCAGCACAGCAGGCAGAGCAGCGAACCTTTTGGTGCCAGTGTGACTTCTTCCGAGGAGGATGAAATTACAAAAAAAGAGCGGGAGATTATTGAAGTTCTCGAAAAAGAAGAACAGTGGCGATACGGCGATAATCGCGAATACAACAGGTACAGATAAAGTTGTCTCTACATGTAATTTTTTTTTTGTGAATACAAAATTCAGAAAATGCACAAAATATTCAAAAGACAATTTTAAAAATATTCAGCTTTTCAAGTGTCTTCTGGACTTTTGTTAAAAGAACAATTAATTCGTATTCTGACGAATAAATACATTGGTGATGCCATTAGTGACTTAGGAGAAAAACTGGCCCACAAACTGCGCGAACTCGAAGAGGAGAAGATGCAGCTGGAGAGAGAGGCGATATTGCGCTGCAACGAGGACGCATTTCGCAAGAGGGACGACGCACGCAAGCAGGAAGATGCTTCCTCACACGAGCAATCGCAACAGCAACACGATGAGACAGCGAAACAGCGGGAGATCCAGGTGCGAACGACGGAAAAGGAAGCAAAGTACATCGGAGACAAGCGAAAGGACGAGGAGCTTGAGACGCAGTCGGAACAACTGAGGATGCAGAACGAGATCGAGGAGAAAGAGCGGAGAGTCGCTGATGCGTGTCGTAAGGAGGAGATGCGCATCCGAACGATGGAAAGTCAAATTCGCGAGCAAGAGGTAAGGCAAATGATTCAGTTTTATATTTTTTGAACGCGAAACTAACGAGGAAAAAGAGCCTGATTTTATAAGTAGATGGTAAATTTAGAACACAAGGTACTTATTATCTTTCAAATATGTTCTTCCTTTGACATTTCTGTCAATTGTTTTTTTTTTTTTTTTTTCCGAGAAGAAACTCGAAGCTATGCACAAATTTCTTCTAGCCGAGGCACGCATTTTTAACCGATAGCTTGAAAATATCCTTGGGGCAATGCTGTGATTCTTGTCGATATCTTTTGATCCGTTCATACTACCATTATTTATACATTAAAAAAAATTGCATGTTACATTTACAACATTGCCTGAAGGATTCGATTGTTCAGTAGTATGGTGCAAATCAATATATAGTGTAGTGTAAATATTGATAGAGGGATCATTGCTAATTATTCACAGAACAAGGCATTGGTCGGTGCTGGGTTGAGCAGCAATGAAGATGAATTCCCTTCCGGGGTAAGGCAACAGTTGTCTTCACCACTGTTTTAGTCGCTTGTTTGCACAGAACTTTTACATAAGTATTCGTATATGAATTCTTTAAATCTCTTATTATTCTGTCTCTTTTAAATTTCTTTCGAGATATCTTAATTAATATCAGCTTGTTTCGATATGATCTCTTTGTATGTAATATGTTAAACGAATAAATTAATCATATATAAGAGAGATTAATTAATTTTGTTAGAGTTGCTAAAACATAAGTTCATAGAATCACGAAAGCTAGCAATTAAAATTAATTAAGTTTTGAACTAAATGTATTTATTTATTCATGAAAATATTTAGAGTTATTGTATTTTAAGTAGTAATAATTGCTTCTATTTAAGAGAGTATAATTAGAATTAACGCGATAGAAACATTTTTGTCTAATAATATTTTAAATATGCATGTAAAGATAATAAATCATAAAAATATCGTATGTTGTCTTTTTAGGAAGTGCTACGAGTGGAAAGGGAACTTCTACAATTGGAACAGGAAGAATTAAAGAGACAACGCAATAATTTGGCTTATCGCGAGCAGAAGCAGCTTAGGTTAGCAGAACAGTTACAAGAACAGTGGAAATCCTTGCAAGATGTTGCACAGAACTCTATTAAAAGCACGCAACAATACAAATATCATACGCCTGCTGTGAATTACAGATCTTCAATGCCAAATTTGCAGTTTCAAGATGCGCCAAGAAGGAGACCACCGCCACCACCAATTCCACTTACTAAACCACGTATGCTAGATCAGAGACAAAGAGATGTTACAATTAGGTAAATACAATAATACATGAGAGAGAGAAAGAGAGAGAGAAAGACCTGTGTTATTGCATTTCTTTTTACTACACAACAAACGTTAGCTAAATTACGTCTAGATTAAAGTAAAACTTTTATATGATAATAATAAAATGGATATATAACAAGATAATTAATATTAAATTTTTTTTTATTTAATTGGGAATATAGGAATAGCCGTATACCATCCGCGGATTCGATTCCTCAACAAGTAGACGCATCGATTCGCGAGAGCGCATCGACAACGACACTTGGAAATCACACTGGCCAGCAAATGTCCAGACAGACCTTGCAGGTAGAGACCTTATAATCAGAGTCTGGCCACGAGAATATCCGGCATTTTTTTTTCAAAATTATGCGAGAGAGAAAGATATGCGCTATCTCACTCTTACTTACTCTAGAGTGGCACTGTGGAATTGGAAATTTAGCAGCTCTATAAGCTTCATAGTGAATATAAATACGATGAATATATAGTTTATATAATCTAACTTTTTTTTCGATTTTGCATATTTTTGCATAATAAATGTTTACATAATAAATATTTGTGTAATTTAAGTTTCTTTCTGAGTAAAAATGGTTGAATGCGCCAACACTTTTTTGCAATATTCCATGGTCAAAAGACTAGATAATGAAATATTAGGTGTTGGAATTCGTAGCGTTTTTTAATGAAAGAATGTTATTTATTTCACATGAGCATTAAAAAATACATTAATGAAAGTACTTCCCATCACTTGTAAAACGCTACGAATTAATTCCAACACCTAATACATTTCAAACAACTGCAACGAATTGAAGAAAAATGTCGGGTCAATCACGAACATAGTTATATCGTGGCCAGACTCTGACTATAGGTTCTTTATTTACAGGCATTAAGTGCAGTACCGCGTCCACGAATTGTTCAAGGTGATCAGTGGGTCCAGCGAAGGAAAAGTGACGTGCCTAGAGGAGCTAATGATGTGAACTATCAACATTGGCTTATTCAAGTGCGTATTATTACATTTTATATTAATTGATACATTATGTATAAATTTATGTAAAATTTATTTTCTTTATATAATTCTATAATTTTTAAAGAGATACATTAACTCCATTATAAAATTTGTTCAATAAATCATTTATAGTTAAAATAAGATTTTTTATTTTATTAAATTTAATTTTTCAGTTATATTCCAATGTTTATCATGTATTCTATTAAATTTCTAACAAAATCTTATCTAATAAGGTATCATGAGATAAGTTCTATCTCAATTAATTTCTCAACAGGAGGCGGAACAAAGGAGGATTAATGAGAGAAATCAACGATCACCGGCGCGAAAATCTCAACCGCATGTAACTGGCACTTCCGTACCATATAACGCTCCAATTCGGACAGACAGCAAACCGCTACCCGATTCTATCATACAAACTCTAACACAAAGGGTACAGAGTAAAACGCAGGAGAAACCTCTTTTAACAAGGCGAAGGTAAATTTAATTAGTATTCGGCGATTTACGAAAAAATTAATTTTTCGAACTACTGATATTTTTTATATAATAATATACAAATAATAATATACAACGAAACAAAATTTTTTAATAAAAAAATAAAATATATTTTATTTTTCACTTCTATATTTGATATTTGAACTTTCATTTAGACTTTTTTTTTTTCAAAAGTTTGCTTTTTACGAATTATAAAAGAATATTTTTTTCAGGCCAGAGCAAGTTCAAGAACACTTGACTGTGCAACATCAATCACCACAGTATACGCTACAATCTCAAAAAACACATACGCCAATCGCGAATAACAGTGGAAATCAAGAAAAAATGCTTAGCGTGAGTGGAAAGAAGAAATGTTCACATTGCGGGGAGGAATTAGGTAATGTAGTAAGTTAGTTAAAACATTCTTTCATCGTTATAAATATCTTTATGATTCTTTAGGTCGAGGCGCTGCGATGATAATCGAAAGTCTACGATTGTTTTATCATATGGAGTGCTTCAAGTGTTGCGTATGCCATGTGCGTCTCGGCGATGGATTAATGGGAACGGACGTGCGCGTTCGAAATCATAAACTCCACTGCCATAACTGCTACTCCAGTGATGATGGTACAAACATTTAATTCGTCAAATAATTGTATGATCATACACGTTGTGATTTCAAGAGTATTCGTTAAAATACACATTATCTTCGATATAATTAAAGAAAGAACGTTTTTAAAAATTTCATTTTAAAAATAATTGCAAATGTACAATATTTATTAATCTCTTGAAAATTTTATATCGTAAAAACATAAAGACAATTATTAATGCAATTATAAATTATAAATATGCAAAAATCAGTAAAATATTTTCACACACACACACACACACACACACACACACACACACACACACATCTCAGAATTTACTACATTGCTGTTAAATTTTCAGGTGTCAAGTTCAGTTGTGTGTAGAAGTCTGGTTAACGGAATTATGCTGATTAACTTAATTGTAACGCTTTCCGGCTATATCTTATGATCTTCATAATCAACCGTTTAGTTACCCTTATTTAAAAGTGTCATGTTGACACACGGCATAAAGTAAATTGCATAAACATAATTTTTTGATCAAATACAAAGAGGAATGAAGTTGTCCCTCGCGCGATATATTATTTTCCGTATTTTTTATTCAAAGTAATGAGTTTACACATGTATGCAATACTGTTTCTACCAACTAACACGAATCGTACGTGAAGGATGTATATAAGATGTATTTATGTAATTAGTCTAGACATAAGATAACTGTTGAGATGGTTTTAATTTGGATGTAACTGGCGTCATTTTACTGACGCTGTATATTTTTGTAATATAGTTCTCGTACTATTTATACCAGATATATCTAATTTACAATTACAACGGTTATAATAGAATACACGCGAATGCTTTTTCAAGCGAAGTCTTCGATCTTTTTTTTTTTGTTTTTTTTTTGTTTTTTTTTAAAGCGAATAGCATGAGGTTTCAGTATAATAATCAAATAATTAAATTTCGGCTTCGCGGAGCGGTCAAGATGATTACAAATAGCGAATCTAGCAATATGCTAACATAGTTCAAGCTTTAAAAAGATGTCGAGGCCTTCTCTCTGGCACACATACAGATGCGTGCTATTGTATTATTTTTTTTTAATTTCCAGCTTTTTTAACTTCAAAAATTTATTTTGTCAAATAATGCCAACGAGTAACGAAAAGCGTAAAGTATTCTTTCTATTAATAACTGAATTACATATTTACAAATCAAATTCTTTTTAAAAAGCATCTTTCTCTGGAGGAATATTAGTTTTAAAACACTGTCAAGAATGTAGATTCGCCACTACTAAATTAAAATAAAATTTGTCGGTATTTCCGTACTCTGGCATGTCTGCAATTGACTCGACTTGATTGTACGTTTTAATATAAACAAGACGATGGTCTTTTAATCGCTTCCCATAAATGTGTCGAAGACATGTTACATTGTGAAATATTGTAACATACGCGTCTCGTGTTATTAATGTAATTTTATATTATTGAAAAGAATAAATGTAAAACACATAAAATTGATTAATTCTGTAAAACATTTATTTCCTGTTTTGTAAAATTTTTTTACACTTCCAATTGAATCCAACTGAACACTGAAATTGTAGCATTGGCATGTAATAGCATAGCAATGATATGCCATGTTCAATAAAATAACAAATGTAAAATAACAGAAAATGATAACAATTTGCTTACCTGTTGCTGTGCTATGTCGAAGTTAATACTTAATGTCAATTATATATTAGATTTTTATGCGTAAAATGGCCGAGTTTTTATTTCAATCATTAAAATTTCAATAATTTAAAATAAATTTTAATATAAGCACATATGCAATGAAATTTTCTCAACACTCCTTCATATACCTCATCGTTGCTCTTTGTGTCAAGGACTGAACATCCTTCAAGGATGCATTTCAAAGTACGTATAAAACTTATCATGTATCATTGTATCCTTTTTTTATCATTCGGTGAACAATAATGACAAATGATGCACCATGCGCTTCATACACAATTCAGAACCCAAGTCTGATTCACGTTCGTATCTAGCAAACGAGAATGGATTGAAATGAATTGAAATGGATGTAACTTCAGATTTTCAGAAATATTGATTCATGTTAAAATGAATGTTTTTCAATCCTGAATGCATTTTTATTCATTTATAGGAATTGCATGGAGCATATCTCTTGCCTTTCAATCTAAATAATAATATTAGCTTTTTCTGTGCACAACATACACATTGTAAATATTGTTCAATTCAAAATTTTATAAATAGGAAATGCAATTTTTCAATCCAATTGAATCCAATTAAATTCAAAAAAAGTATTCGATATTTATATATATAATACGCATTCGGATAGAACAAAATTCCATTTTAATCCATTCTCGTTTGCTGGGATTATAAGTTGACAATGGTTGACAGCACAGCATAAATCTGAATACGCGACGAGATTTCGTATTATTATCCTTGCACAAGGAAAGATTCAATTTCATGATGCGAAACAAGCCGGTATTCATATTATTATTCGATTCTTATATTTAAGATTGTCTTAAATACAATCTTGAGAAATACATCTTGAGATGTCGTAAGTCAATCCGAGGACTGTATTAATATCTTAAGATATTATTTAAGACCGTTTTAAAATAAGAACGGATTAAGATCGTTTTAAAATAAGAACAGTCCATAGACGGAGAGAGCAGAGATTTAGAAAGAAGCACTGTCCAACTGCATATACGCAGTGGTTAGCGCAGAAGTATTATTTTATTCTTACTCACCGAGTGTTAAACGAAGATTAAGTGATACTCTCTGCGCTAACCACTACGCTTACCAACCAATCGCTTACTACTAAAACGAATGCATCCTTCATGTTATCCCTTCAGATAAATTTTCACGAGCTATTCAAACCGGCTGTTTCAGCGATAAAAGAATCAAATAATGAATATCAAGCGTCCATTTTGATCACGTGATCCTTTTTGTCGCTGAAATCTGAAACAGCCGGTTAGAGCAGCTCATGAAAATTTACCTTTTCACTTTTGTCTTGTTTTGTGATCTAAAGTTGAATGCTGATTGAACACAAATAAAGTGCATAAATGAGTTGTGTTACCTGTGCGAACTTAAATTTTTATCAATGAAATTCCATTTATGTATGAATCGCAATTGTGTAGAGATGATGTAAAAATATCAATGAAATAAGGTTATAAAGAATAACTGTTTTTCAGATTAGAAAATTATTATTTTCATCTTTCGAAAAAGCGATCTTATTTAGACGCTACAATTAGTTATTTTCCAAAGAATTTATCTTTTTGAAGCAACATACTGTAGCGTCTCTCATTTGAGTTTGTCATTTCATTATTATTGAGAATTTTGAGAAATACATTTTGATTTCATCTGCTTGCATTCGATCGATATGATCTTTTAACAAGTTATAAAATTTATTTTTTTTTTATGCTGCACTAAACTGCATTAGTACTTTCTTTCTCACTTTTGTCAAATATATACCTATTTCGTTTTAAGTATATAAGTATATAAGGTATATACGCAGTTTAGTTACAAAAAAAACAAATCTTTCAATTAAAAGCAATTAAGAAAATTAATAAAATAACAAATAAAGTAAGAAATTAATATAAAATAAGAAATTAATAAAAAAAAAATAAAATATCCCTTTCACAATATTAAGCAACAGTTTAAAATTATTCCTTCTGTGTTTCACTAAAGACATGCAACAGCAAGTTTCTTTCAAACAAGTGAAGAAGTCATATATGCGTTAATATTTGCTATTTTATGCTTTTAGATATAAACAAAAACGTAAGCCATGTGTTCTCACGAGAGCATCACATGGACAATCACGGACAATTCTGTTACGGACAGAATGCTCGAGAATTCCCTGATACACAAATTTAGACGATCACGGAAAATACGAAAGAGCACAAAACTACTCAATACTGAAATAAAGAAACATTGTAGTGTGACAGATTACCTGCATTATGTAGAACTGAAAACAAATGTCACACGAAACTTAGTAAAAGACACCGATACTAGTGATAGTAGCAGTCTCAGTGATGTTGATTATGATATTATATATAATTCATCAAAACGAGCCAAATATAAAGCCAGAGATTTTCAGAATTATGTTTCTGTCAGCGAGGAGGACTATAAAGGCTGTAACAGAAGAACTGTCATACGTAAGAAGAAAAACAAAGGCACAGAAAGAAGAGTACAAGTGAGAAAATCACCGCGATTGAATCCTGTAGTGTCTGAGGAATGTATTAATACAGGTTGGCAAGAAGTTATAAACAAGAATAATAGTGTACCACGTAAACGATCATATACAAATATCTCGAATAATAAAAGAAATATGAAGATTAATGATTGTATTCATTCGAGAGCTCAATCTAATAAGCAATCTCTTTCTCCACAATTAGATTCTCAAATCGGTTTGACATCGAATATAATGAAATCTGGAAATAAATATGTGAGACAGAATCACGAAGATTTTGATGCAATAGATAATAAATTAAGTTCCAAAGATAATACGATATCCAATAAAATAAAACCTGTGAGTAAAAGAAAGTTACAAAATAAAAAAGATCAAAGTGCAACAATAAATGAATCAAATATTGAACTTGATTCTCATGGTTTACATTATCACTCATCTCTACCTCAATCGACAAGTTTAGAAAATAGTACTAATGCTGATAATGAATTAAATTCCCTTGTTAAATCAAAAGATAACATCAACAAATCAACTGCAATAATCGAAAGTTCAATAAATGCGAAGAATTGTAACGCTTATATAAATTACAAACCAAAATTGTTAAAAGATGTTAAAAGGAACTTGATACCAGCGCTAGAAAAAGCCGATTGCATGAATCATAGTAAAGATATAACAGATAAAAATATAGGAAATGAATTAAGTTATGATCAGTTACTTCCAGATATCGTAAATTTTGATCGATACCACAGTACACCATTAAAGAAAATACAAACAAATATACCTAATAAAGATTCGTCATCAGATGTTTTGCAGGACCAACAAAAAGACTCTGGAATTGATGAAGATTCGCAAGATAAGTTGGTCAAGATCGAAAAATCTAATAAGATTCCAATGAATCAAAATATGGAAAAAAACGCAAAGAAAATTTTTATTTCTTCTCTTGAACTGAAAAAAATTGACGAAGTATTCGAAACAATGGAAGATAGTGTAGAGGTTGTAAAGGATCCACATTTTAATGACATTTTAAGAGAACAAATTAACAAAGAAGAAAGGACACCTTCTGGAGAAGAAGAAATGAAAAATGCCCCCCAATTAAATCAAATTAATATGAATGTAGAAACAAATGAAAAAGATGAAAATTCTGTAAAAGCGAATGATTCAAGTGATATTCAAAAACAACAATTGTTATCTCCTAAACAAGATTGTATGAAGAAAACTCATTCGAAGCCTTGCAGTCTTATTCAAGAGGAAGAAGATGATAGAATAGTAAAAATTCCCGCTGAAGAAGAAAAAGATATATCTCTCCAATTAAAGGAAGATAATGTAAAGGTCGATGTAGAGGTTCCTTCAATTAATCACAAAGGTAAGATTATTTTATATAAATTCATGAGATTAAAAATAACCGATTTTTTCTCGTAAGAAGAATCGTACAAAGAATATACATATATTTGAAATCTTAAACAATGTTTCAGGAAAACAAAATAGCAAAGAAGAAAAAGAATTCTCTGAAGAAAAAATAAAAAATTTCCCTCAATTAAATCAGATTGGTAATGTCACAGAAATTCGTTCGATAAATCATGAAGATCGAACGCATTTCGTAAAATCAGAAAACTCACTCGATGTTCAAAAACAACAAGTGTTATCTCCTAAGGAAAATCATATAAAAGATATTTATCCGAAATCTAACAATAATATTTTAGACGAAAATAATAGACAAACAAATGATGAGAAAGAAGTAAATAATTTCTTCCAATTAAATGAAGTTGATAAGAATGGAGAAAGGCATTTAATAAATCAAGAAGATGAAGCTTGTATGGATACACATGATACACAAAAACATCAAACTTCATTACCTAAAATTACGTGTACTGAAATTCTGAACAAAAAATATAAGCTAATATATAAGGAAGACGATGTTGTCAAGAGTAATATAGAAACACTTGATAAAATTGATAATACGAATATTAGCAATGAAAATCCTTCTATAAGAAAGAATACTTTAATATATTGTCCAGATGTCGTTGATCATAATACTGACAATTTGCAAGAAACAACGATAAATGAGGAAGAAATTGAAATACCAATGACATTGGAAACTGATAATGAAGAGGATAATATGAACTATATGTCACCTCAAACTAAAAAGCGACTTCAGCAGCAAGCAAGATTGAATTTAATAGTAAACAGCGATTCTAGTGAAAGCGATGACGAATATGTCACCAAAATTTCGCAAAAACATATTGACAGTTCAAATATGAATTATTGCAATGAAGACGACAACTTAAGCAATGATGAAATCAACTGCGCTCCTAAACAAACCGAAACAGTCATTTCATGTAGAAGAAGTAAAATTAGATATAATGAATATGAAGGAAAACATAGAAAAGACTGAATCATTAATAAGTTGTACATATGAGAATAATGATTCATTGCAATCTGCAACAAACAAAAACCGATTACAGGAAACGCCAAATTGTGAAAATGTACATAATGATAACCAAAGTCGAGAAAACTTAATTGAAAGTCTTCAGTTAAGAGTTTCTGATAGTGATGTTTCGTGCAACAGTAAGAAATCTATCAATGAATTTCAAAAACACAAACAATCTATGTTAGATAAGGAGAACATATGTACTAAAAGTAATCAGAATGAAGAAGCAATAAGCACTGAATTTAAGACAAGACATGAATCCGAACACAAGCAAAGTACACAAGCATCAATCAAATGTTCAAACACACATCTTAATAGCTCTTGCCAATATAGACCATGCAATGTAAGTAACTCGAAATAATATCAGAATTATTTCTTTTGACTTGAAATATTTTAAGAAAAATCATATAAAGTTTCTTTCTTTTTCTTTCTCTACATTGAAATACATTCTTTTTACATATAACAAGATAGAATAAATTTTAGAATTCATTTAGAATAATTAAAAAATGAATTAAAGCTATCAACAAAAAGTGACATATTTTGCACTAAATTAATGCCCATAGAATGAAATTTTTAATGCAATATTTAAGAACTTATAATTAATATAGGGAAATTTCTAGCAAGTGTAATATATAATGTATAGTGAATTATTATATCTTTGTTTGCCAATATCAAACAAGGATGAAATGATTTGCTGTATTACATTGTGTTCTTGCTAGAAAACGCTTATTACCTTTTTTAGTTACAACAACTAATCGAAGATCAAGACTTGTTTGTGGAAACAATACCAGCAAGTTTTACATTAACCGATCTTTCTGAAGACGAAGAAGCTTTTATCTTAAATGTTCCAAGCAAGGTATATTATATGTTTTTTCTATATATGTATGTATATATGTATGTGTATATACACACACACACACACACATATTTTATATATACATATACATCCTATATATAAATTCTGTATACTTTTTAAAAATAAAAATTTATTAATTCATGATTTAGAAATCACAAAGAAGTACCATATATATATCGTCAATCATCTCTATAAATACAAATTTCTAATTCTTTGATCTGGAGACACGGTAGTGTCTCAGTTTTAATTTTCTATTAATCAGTGAAAATAAAAAGTTGAATTGAGTAGTTGCGTATATGATTGTGCAGTAAATAAATTTATTTTTCAAAGTGGAAACGCTAGCTTAATACAAGAATAAAAATAATATTAGGTGTTGGAATTAATTCGTAGCGTTTT